AATATTTCAATAGAATTTTTGCAAAAGGATGGTTCGCTTATTTCTTTTATTTTTTTTCTTGCAAAGTTTATCTTAATTTATAAAAAATTTTTATATAAATATATATGTATTTAAATATATGAAGGCAGTAAAACATATAACCATAATTATATAGGTTATATACATACGCATAAGAAAATATTTGTATTCAATAACAAAAAAAACTTATAAAATGTTAAACGACAAAAAGCAAATAATGCAAAAGAAAATTATCATAATTATATAAATAATCATAAAAAAATTATAAAATGAAAGACTTCATATAATTTTGAAGTTTTAGCATTGTTCTCGTGAAACATTTATATACATACATATATATTATATAATATATATACACATGTAAATATAAATAAACATTCATACATATTTGTTATATATATATAGACGAGTATATACATATATTTGTAAGTGTATATATTAACTCCTAATCATATTTTCAATTTCTGGCTCCCATAATATATTACAAAAGTAATCTATACTTTAATTGATGGACTTGAAACAGCTAAAGATCAATAAAACTTAAAGGTATTTAAAACAATTTATACATATACATTATATTAAAAAACTTTTGTCCATATTTTAAATTGTATGAGCAGCGCATTATGCTTGTAAAAAGGAGAAGATGTGATTTCGAGAATGTGATTGGTTCAAATCACAATCTCTAATAAACAAAAATAATTAAATTGTATTTCTTAAAACAGATCGAGCAATATATTTCTTGGATATTTGTTGTTTCTACCGTTCAACTTCAAATCTCAACGCAATAAATTAATATTCGAGTTCAAACTGATACTAAGCTATCAAAACGATATTTATGATGATTATTATTTTGCTAATACATATATTTTACCTTAAATAACTGCATATACATTTAATATATCATTATAAGAATATATATATGAAATAACATTTTATATATATTATATGAATATATATATATAAATATATATATATATATATATATATATATATATATATATATATATATATATATATATATATATATATATATATATATATATATATATATATGCATATAAATATATAAATATATATGTATAAATATATATGCATATAAATATATATATATATATGTATAAATATATATATATATATGTATAAATATATATGTATAATATTTGATTAATAATACAATAATGTATAAAAAAAAATAAATAAAATATTATAGATTATTAAAGCATGATAACAGATTTATATTATATATATGTATATACTCACTTCCGTATATATGTTTATATGTATATATGTAGTTTTAATTACATATGTGTATATATATTATAGTATAATAAATATATAATAAATATAATACTAAAATAATATATCTAAGCGACAAAAATGATAAAAAGAAAAATAGAAAAAGTACCTTATTTTATCTAAATATAATAATATATTAAAAAAAAAGTTAAAACTATTTTGTTTTAAGAAAATTGCCTATATATAGTAAAATTTTATCATAAATTATAAATAAAGAAAAAAGTAAAATTAATTAAACAAAAAAAGAAAATCGGTATATACCTTCTTAAAATAGGATTCAAAAAAATAACATTATAATAATTAAAAATTATATTATAAAAATAATATTTGTTTATGTATTTTAAAAACCAAAAACTTCTTGTTGATAAAATGTATATTTAAAAACTTAATAAAATTACATTCTTTTTAACTCTACAAACAAAAAAAAAAAAGGAAAAAAAAAACTGAAAATAATTAAAGGAAAAACAAATGTAAAACAAAAAAGAAACATATATATATACATAAATAATAATAACCTTAAAAATAAATTCATATAAATCTGCAATTATTTTTCTAATTTGGAAAATTTAATTAATAAACCAAAAATCAGAACGGAACATTAAAAACAATACAATAATTTAAGATAGAAAAATGAATATAAAGTCAATTTTAGAAGATGGTATATGCATTAGTAAAATAAATTAATTTTCTACGTTTAAAATGTATATGAATATTAAAAATCTGACCTAATAATTTATTAATAATAAATATTTTGTTTTAGAACCAAATTCCTTCAAATAATTTAATTCTGTTTCATTGTGCATACTTACGGAATTACATGAGCACACTTACGAGTATATTATATTTGACTTGGATCCTTGCGATTTTTTCAATTTCAATAGGAAAAAATTCAAGAGGAAAAAATTGAACTTCCTCTCATTTTTGGCTGCAATTTTTTAATCCAAAAAAGAATATTCAATTTGAACTTTATGTTGAAGTTTTTAAAATATAAACGTGGAATGCATATTGCCATTTAAAAAATTCACATACAAAAGCAACAGTGATGCCAAAAATAATCATTACAAAGTGGCAAACCAATATGCATATTTCAATAAATGACTTTTAAATTCACTACTTCAAACTTTTTATTAAACTATTATGAAGTATTTGAAGACTTTAATCGTTCTGGAACTAAAGAAATCATATTTAATGAGTTAATTTACTTCTGCTACAGACGAAGAACATATGTATATCAGCAAATATTTGATGAAACAATAACCGTTTAACTGTATGTAAAGCAATGAATCCAGCATTAAAAGTGCCAATTAAGTATATTCATAGTGAAAAGCTGAGCACTAAAATATTAATAAAACATACATACTTCATTAATTTTATAAAAATTAAAATAAAAAATAAAATAAACATTATTTTAGAAATGAAAGTCATTTAATTCAAAGGTTATAGAAGTAGTATAAAGAAAAATTTGTTTAATATTAGATTTTTATTTCACCTTTTTTTAATCTCATCGTACATTTCTTTTCAAAGTTCTTCATAATATTATGTACATCCCAAATTTAATAAATGAAGAAAATTAATTTTACAAACTATAAAAACTCAAATTCTTAATTGACTCTTAAAAAAGTTTATGCATAATTGAAAACCAAATAAAATAAAAAAACAAAATTAATTTGATGAAATTAATATAAAATAAAAAAAGAAAAACATAAAAAATGTAATCTTTAAAAACAGAAAAATAAATTTAATTATGTCTTGTTGGAATATAATATATTTTATAGAATGTTATATTTTATATGAACGTTAGTAATGTTTAAAACAAAAAAAAGTTATAAAACCATATCACCTTTAAATTAAGGTGAAAAAGAAATATTAAATTAAAAAACATTAATTGAATTGAAAAAAATCTACAAAGATTTGACATCATTATTAAATATGTAATCTAAAAAACATGTTAGATAGTAAAGAAAGAATATAAAACGGGAATGAAATGCAAAATAATGTAAAGACGTACAATGTACATAAAATAAATATATTTGGATATATGAACACATATATATATATACATATATACGTACTAAGTATATATATATATACCCAGTGTATTATGTGAATATATGGGTATATATATCCATTATATAATATATAATATATATATTCATATACATATATTATACACATATGTGATTAAGTAGACATAATTATATTTTATTTTATTCGGTCAATTCTTAATTATTAAATATTTAAAAATTCTTCGAAAAGAAACATTAAAAATACAAAAAATATTAATAATACATAAAATGTATTTAAAAGAAAATTATACTTAGAGTTTTAAAGTAAAAGTAAAACAAAAAAAAAAACAAAAAAAAGAATATCGAAAATTTATTTGAAAATAGACAAAAAACTTGATGAATAAAAATTCTCTTATAAACACTTAACTAAATTATATATTTTCTGGTTTTATTTTTCATTTGAATCCATGTATGTATGTTTTCTAAAACGTAGTTCTAGATAAATAATTAAAATTTTACCTTATTTCAATTACACATTTGTAAATGTAAGTCAATTATTGCGGTATAAAATAATTCGGCTCCCGATGATTAACTTTAAACTTTATTTGAAAGTCGATTAAAATTGAACTGACAAAAACACATAAAATGAAAGGGCTTATACGTTAGTATTTTTAATTTCATACCCTTTGAAACTTACGACACACAAAATTCTTTTTCGACATAACGAGTAAGAGTCCTTTCGCCACATTGAAAACTGTGAAGAATTTAAAAAACTATGGAAAGACTTAAAAAAATATATAACAAAATTAATAGCTCTGTTAGTTTACTTTTTTTGCAAATATTTTACAAATATATGAATTTTGAAATTCAAGAGATGTAAAAGCCAACAAACCTAAAAAAATAAATGTCAAGTACATAATTTTTTTTGACAAAAAATTTTAGTTATAAAAATTTTTAAAAAAGAATTGCCTATTTCTCACTCTCTATATCTCACTCATATATTTTTTCTTTTCTAATATTTTAAATAAATTTTTAAATAACATACAAATTCTCCGAAAAAATTTTTAAATAACAAACATAAACGAAAATCTTTTTGAGAAAGCTTTAATAAATTTTCAACAATTTCATAAATCTTTTGATGACTGATTTAATTTTTAAGTATCACCTTTCTGACGTCATCGGGTAGATTCTTTATATAGAGCTACGAAGACAAACTCTGTTTACCCCGAAGTAGTAAAACTTTCAAACGCCAATGCTATCCAGCAAACTTACTAAATATTTAGACTATGAATACAAGTAAGGTTTTAAGTATCTAAATATGATTCAACACGTTTATTAGAATGAATGATAAAATTTCTTAAAAAATTGAATGCAAAATTATTCCAATTTTGAAATTTTTAAATATGCTAATATCATATCTTTTTCATTACTTTCGATTCTTAAATTAAATGTAAACCTTTCGTTGAATAGAACTTTTCTGTTTTCTTGACAGATAAGTAAATTTTGACAGGTAAATAGTTTTTTTATTGGAAATTGAGTAAATAATTTTTTCTTAAGTACTGAATTTAGAAAACAGATGTCTCACTGACTTATGTAGCAAAAGTTACAAGTAGCATAAAATTTTATCTCCACTTTTGACGTTTGCTAGCTGTCATTATTTCATAGAAATTTCGGCTTCGGCATAAACGCGAATTTTATTTCAATAATTTAAAAAAAATAAATAAGTTTTTTTGTTCATACCGCAAATGCCGAATGCTGAATGTATAGTTTTAAACTAAATTATTTATAAATAAAAAAAAATAAAAGTTATAACAAAAAAATGACAACAACTGAACTTAAAGATCCTGGAGCAACGCAAAACGATGAAAGCCAGAATGCAAGTTCAACTAAAAAGCGTTCAACTCGGAATGAAGTAGGATTGCAGCAACAGCAACAGGATGGTGAAACGTTTTATAAGAGCCTAATATCATTTAATGAACGCAGAAAGTATTTACATATATAATAATAAATATATATTAACTCTATATGAATAAAAATTTATTTTATGCAGCACTCCGATTGTTCGAATGCCCAAAATTAGTGGTGAGGATGTAGATTTACACAAATTGTATACTGAAGTTATAAGTCGGGGTGGTTGGTTAAAAGTCAATATTAGAAATGAATGGGAAGATGTCGCAAGTGAGCTTGGACTTTCTTCAAAATGTGTGAATGGTGTTGTCGCATTGAAACAAATATATTGTAGATATTTAGATAAGTATGAAAAAGTTTACTTCCTGGGAGAAGATCCGGATCGACCTGACGAGCCAGACGACGACGATCGACAAAGTAGGCATAAAAAATGGTCTGAAAAATCTACTCCCATGGTACCAATGTCTTATAACTATCTTCAGCACAACGTATCAGAACAAATTAGAATATCGAACAAAATGTCTACAGATTTATATAAACATTCGGAATACGAAAAGCTATTGCTTTCTTTAATGTCCCCTCTCCCAAACGAGCAGGATTTCGCAATAAATGTATGTACGTTAATGGCAAATGAAAGCAAACATACTTTAAAAATAGAAAATTGCCCTAAATTATTAGATGCCCTTGTTGCACATGCAGGTGTATTTCGTCATGGTATAATTTTTTTAAATTTTATATTGTGTAATATATTGAATTTTTAATTTACAGTAACAATGAGACATATTTTCGAAGAGTTTTATACGAATACTAGAAAGCATTCACTTCAAGCATTTTGGAATGACCTGCTTCATAAGGTTCCTCTGATTCTGGAATTATCCTATGAAGACTCATTGCATACAAATAGTCAAAATGTAATTGATAGCAAGAAGGTAGAAATTAACTCCAAAGAATTTTTTGAAGATGGATTAAATGCCGATTTCGATACTGAATCTGAAATGGATCAAATTAATCTTGATAAACTAGAGTTCTTATCTTTAGGTCGGGGACTCGGGACTCGTGAATATATTGGTCAAAGGGTTCAACAAATTTCATCCATTATGAGAAATTTGAGCTTTTTTGAAGAAAACATACCTGTTATGGCCAAAAATCGTACATTTGTGCGATTTTTGGTGATGTGCTCAAATATTCGTTGGGGTAATTTACATCATTTGGCTTTAGATATCTGTGGAAATATTGCTCTGGAATTGGAATTGTATGATCCAAATACCGACGATTTGACACGCTGCCTAGTTTCCACTCTTTGTGAAGGAATCGAAAGTGAAGATCGTGGAGTAATTATTAGTTGTCTGGAAATTTTGAATAAATTAAGTCAAAAAGATACAAATGAAGACTATTTATTGAAATGTTTAAATCAGAAAATATATGGTCAAATGTGTCTTTTTTTGTCATTAAATGACATAATGCTGTTGCTATATACTTTAGAATGTATTTACAGTCTTAGTTCTTTGGGTTCAACACCATGCAATGCATTTGTACAAGTAAAGGGAATTGTAGACACCTTAGTATCATTGATTACAGTTGAAGCACAATCGTATGGACCAGATGGTTGTATATTAATGAGAGTGGTAGAAACTGTTCCTGGAAATATGTTACCAATGGTGGCTCAAAATATTGCAAATTTACAAAATGTTGCCCTAGCTCAACTTAAACAACCGCAACAACAGCAAATTCACTTAAGTCAACCTGAAAATATTCAAAAAGGTAATTGCAAACTAATTACATATATGTATATAATTTCATTCAGAAGTAAATAAAGCTTACTATTTTTTGTTATCGCAGTGTCGAATAACTCTCAAGGACAACCAATTCAAAATACAACAACTTCCCAACAACAGCAACATCAGCAAAAACAACAGTTGCAACAGCAGCAACTTATTCAACAACAAATGCAACAACAACAACAGCAATTGCATCAGCAGCAACAACAACAACAATTACACCAGCAACAGCAACAACAATTACAGCAACAACAACAATTACATCAACAACAACAACAACAATTACATCAGCAGCAGCAACAACAATTGCATCAACAACAACAACAATTAAATCAGCAGCAGCAACAACAATTGCATCAACAACAACAACAACAACAATTACATCAGCAGCAGCAGCAACAATTGCATCAGCAACAACAACAATTGCATCAACAGCAACAACAACAACTAAATCAGCAGCAACAACAACCACCACAGCAATCACAACAGACGCAACAACAGCAACAGTTACAACAGCAAACACAGACTCAACAACAGCAGTTACCGCAACAGCAGCAACAACCATCAAATACTTGTAATATAAAACAGAACCTACAATCGCAGCAGTCTATCGCACAGGAAAATGAACAATTTGCAACGTCTTGGCTTAATGCAACATTAGAAATTGCTCCATCTATAGCAAATCGGATTGAACAACAAGAACTTTATAAGTTATACGTTGTAGCAGCTTCCAAAAATGAAAAACGCGGCACTGTTCCACAAACTCATTTTCCTAGAATTGTTCGTTCAATTTTTGGTACACATATTGGTCCAACTATATTAAAAACTAGTGATTCAAAAGGAGTGGAAACAAATATGTTATATTACGTTAATTTGAAATTTCGTACTAACCCTTTACCTATAAAAAATTTATCACAAGCTTCGCAATCTAACCATAATCAACAGCAATCCATTCAACAAAATACTCAGTTATCACAGGTTAATCAATCACCACAAGTAAGCCAACAGTCTTCATCCAATCAAAACGCTCAAAGTAGTTCTAATAACGTTAGTAATACGTCGTTAAATAATTCTGCTACAAAACAATTGAATGCGCAATCATCTAATAGTTCGGTAAATAACTCTAATACAGAGGTGGGTTTTAAACCAAATTTATCTACAAAATTGTCAACAATTACTTCATCACCATCTTCTAATGTAATAATACATTCACATACAGACAGTAGTAAATTCAATAATATAAGTAATAAATCGCAAAAAATAAATGAACACATTCAAAATAGTAACGCTCTTATTGATAAAAACAGTAGTTATCAAAGTAAAACACTTCTGCAAACGCAACCTACAGTAATAATTAAAAAAGATTGTGCTAAATTCGAACAATCGAAAAATCAAAATTCGCAACATCTCTCAAATGTCTCAATGTTACAAAAAAGAAACACAGTAGATTTATTGGAAAAGGATATTTTTGATTCGAATTCTAAAATTAATATCACTTCACATCTAACTCCAAATGACTCCATTAAAGTAGTAAAACAAAATGTAATTGTATCCAATAAGATATCAATAACTAGTAAAGGATCACCAACATCTCTCCCAAAGCAACAACTAATTGTTAACAAAAACGTAAATTTATAAATGAAAAGATTTGTTTAAATTGGTTGCAAATTTTAGTAGTTTTGGACAATTTTTTCGAAAAGCTTAATTCAATTAAACAACATATTCATAAAATTTTCTTACGAATTTTCAAACACCACAATAAATGCTTAAGTTGTTGCAAGAGTTAGTTTTTCGATAAAATCGTCGTTTTTATTACTTATTATTTTGCTAAAAATTAGTATATTTCTTTTTTTAATGAATATTTTTTTCTTATTTTTATATATTTTGATATCGTAAGTATCAAATCTTATTTGTTTGAAGTTGCTGAAATTATAAAATATCTACCTTTAATTAAGTAAAACTGCAAAGATTTAATTTTCTTTTGTTTAATTTATTTATCAGAATCAAAAATTCAAATTGATATGGCTTTTATTTTTGTAAAAAAGTGGTTTTAAATTATATATATTGCTATAATCTAAAAATGATTGGCTATTATAAAGTCACTAATCAAAAATAATTTGTTTTACTGAATTTAATAACAGATAAAACAAAATCAGAACTCTGGTAATCAACCAAAAGTTGTAATTCAGAACATTTTGCCACAAAAAGAAGAACAAAAACAAGTACAGGCATCTTTTCTACCACCCCATCAACAAACTCCGGTACACGTTCAAATGCAATCGCAGCAGCATATCAAGCATCAAAATCAATTTTCTTCTCAAACTAATATTCAACAATCGCAAACTAATCCTGTAGTTAACACTGTACAAAAAATTCATCAAAATCAAATGTTAAAATCTCAAACGTTACATCAACAACAACAATCAAAATTGCAACCCGATATGATGCATCATCAACAATCACAACAAAAAATTATTGGAAATGTTATTATAACACAGCATTCTGGGCATGTGACAACTAAAACAACGACTATTGGCCAAACACAAATGACTACAACAACTCACATACCAAGTACTGCGGGAGGATCTACTGCAATAATCAAAACTCTTCTAGCAAACAAGGTAACGACAACTCCTAATAGTAACAATAATAATAGTTTTACAAATTCTAAAATTACTACCGCTGCAACTTCTCAAATTGTGGGTAGCAACGGTAGCATGCCAACTACATGTGCTGTTGTTAAAGAAACGATTATGAATTCAGTCAATACAAATAACTCCAATTATGTGATCACGCAAAATCTTAATTTGCATCAGGTAACAATTGTTATTGTTTTAATGTTGTTTTTCTTAATTTAAGAAGATTATTATCGAATTAAAATTTGTAGACATTTTTAATGCATGACTCATTACAATAACCATTTATTTTAATTTATTTCTTACTAAATTATATTTGTTAAGTTTTTTTTATATTATAAAAAACATACAGTAGCTTATAATACAAGTCTTCTGCTGAGAACTTAGCTAAAAGATTAATTAGAGCTGAATTATTTTTGATTTGTTCGTTTTAGCCAATATAATTGTGTTATCATAATAATTAGAATGTTATTTATTTTTTAGTTAACTTCACATCTTAATAACTTTTATAACCGATAAATAATATAAATGCTGTGGTAGTAACATGATAGTAGTTTTGTAAACTCTATCAAGCTTTCAAATAATTGTATTGGGTAAAACACAAAAATTTTAAAATTAATGTATTATGTGTGTATGTTCTAAAGTTTACTAATACATTAATTTTAATGGTAACTAATTTATAATTATCGAATAATGAGTGATTTGGGAACTTTATATATTGATGAAAATTTTTAATTTGTTCCTCAAAACAGATTTTGTACTAACAATACATGATTTTGTTTTATTATTAATAAATTTAAATATACTTTCTAATAATTGCCACAAAATTATTTGCCGAAATGAAGTTTTTATATCTTACAATTACAAATTTAAAGCTGGTACCAACATACTAAAAAACTTAGAAACTGTATACTAACTTATCATATTTGAAAAATTGAAGCATAACTTCTTATACTAAAAAATAAAGAAAAGGCGTTTTAAAAAGACTCATGTATAGATTATAAAACCGAATTTGATTTGTGCATGATGAAATTAAATTACTAACTGTAGTTTTGTACTAAAAAAATAAAAACAATTGCAATGTTTCAAAGTTTCAATTTAAACTGCAGTCTCAAGCTCGGAAATTCAAAGGTATATTTGAAGTAATATTGATAGTTATTGAAAATATAAAGGTATCTAAAATTCAAACGATAATTAATATGATCTTTTGTTTATAATCAAAGGCCAACGGAAATCATTATCATTTCACAAAATTGCATTTTGACCCATTGTTTCCAAATGCTACATAATTCTATACACATGATATACATATAAGTACATATTCACAAAAATCACATTAAAAATAAATTTAATACTGTTAAATTATTTGGTGAAAGTTATGAGTTATTTTCATTTTTAAACATTTTTGGTTTGGGAACACTCAAACATTTACTTTATAAAACAAAAATTTTTGATTTTATTCATATAATATGTTTCTTTTATGTTATAAAGCTGGCACAAAGGCAAAATTTGGCAAAGCAAAAAGAGGTGACTAATCATCTTCACGCAGCGTCAGCAAATAATAGTACCCAAAAACTATCCACAACAACAATTAGCGCTTTGGTTAATAACCCGATGATTCAGTCAACTCCAGTTAAAGTTGGACAAACAACTATCAAACCAATTAATCCACATTCCATTGAAAAAAAAGTTATTCAGGTGCCTATTGAAAATATGGATACATCAAGTTGGGATCCTGTACCCCCACTAGCTCCAATTGGTGCAGCTACAGTACGATCAATAATTGTACCAACGTCATCTTTATCTACGGCCAGCGAAGACTCTTGTAATTCAGTTGCATCAAGTGCAATGAGTACAAGCCATGTAATGCTAAATGACGACGGCGAAAGTTCTTTAATTAGTTTTGACGGTTTGCTAATACCAAAATCGAAATCCAATGCATCATCAATAATGGAAGATGATAGTTCAAAAGACTCGACCCTCAAGGGATCGCAATTTATTAATGCAAACAAAATGCTTGTTAATCTTTTAGATAAAAAGTCACCAGATCCTCCAACTTTAACCGTTGGAATAAAAAGAAAAATTACAGATGATAATAAAAGTCGAAAAAAACCAGTAATGATTACTCAAATTGAAGATACTGAGCAAAACATAGTACCATCCAAAAATGCTGCAAATTTGTACGCGGAGATGGCGGCATCAATTTTAGAAGACGAAGATTTAGAAGATGTCATTCCAACAGCTAAAGTCAGCATTTCAAATTCAAATAATTCAACTACATCATCCGTTGCAGTAGTTGCTCAGAAACAACATACTTCACAACAACAGCAACAAACTGTCCAAACTGTAATACAAAAGCCTGCTGAGCCACAAAAACAAATTATTACAATGCCCTTACAACGTCAAATAATCGTTTCTCCTAATGTTTCACATCAACAAGTTATATTGTCACAGAGCCCAATTACAGTTCAGGCTTCACAGTCATCGCAAACAATTACAACGTCTGGATTGCAACAAGCCGGTCTAAAATCTGATTCAAATCTTCAAACTGTTCCCTTAATTTTACAAAAACAAATAGGACCAGGAGGACAGCAAATTATTCAACAAGTATTACAGCAACAGCCTCAGACACAAACTCAGTATGTGCTAGCAACAAATCCCCAAGGCCAAACATATTTAGTAGCACAACAAGCACCACAACCACAATCTGCAGTTTTATTAACGCAATCAACAACTCAAAATCAACAATCTGGTCCTACAAAAACAATCATTATATTACAACAACAAGGCGCCCCCCCTCAAGCTGTCGCACAACAACAAATTATTGCTGGTGGACCTGGTCAACCTCAAAAAATGATAATGACAACCCCACAAGGTCAACAAATGATTGTAACGCAAGTGCCGCGACCTCCAGTGCAACAAATTATAGTGAACCAAGGCGGAAACGTTTTGCCTCAAAATGTAGTGCTTACCCAAACAGTTTTGCCGCAAACTTCTCAACCACAAACAACAATACAACAAATTCAGCAAGCTGCTCAACAATCTCAACTCTCTCCGCAATTACACATCCAGCAAACTATTCTAAACCCTCAAAATCAATCACAAACCGTTGTTCCACAAATAACCGCCAACGGAGCAACTCTACAAATTCAACAGCAAACGTCACATCAACAGCAGTCATCTATACTGTCACAGTTACCTCAAATTCCAGCGACTATAAAATTGCATACTCCTGTCGCTACTGCCACGACGAATCAAAAATCGATTTCACAACAGCAAAATATAGCAGCAAAAATCGTTAATAAACCTGGGACGCCGACAGTTTCGATTGTTGCACAAAATCCGGTTACATCTCAACCAAATTCAGTTCAACAGCAAATAATTCAACAAATTGCTAAACCAAGTGCAAAACCATTAAATTCTTCATTAAGTAAAGTAACAATGCAGCAGCAAATTCAATCTCCTTCCCCCCAAACAAATACAACCAAATCTCACCCTAATATTCAGCAACAACAAAATCAAGCAAGTCAAATAACACAAAAATCGCAAACTAACGCAGCACCATTACAAACATTTCAGCCACAGAAAGTACAACAGCAACAACAACATAACCCAAATCCTTCAACTCCTAATCAAACAAATTCTTCCCAATGCCAAACTCCTGTACATCAACAGCAAAAGTGCTTAGTAAAACCACAAAAAACTCAACAAACCTCACTTCCACCAGCAGCAAGTCAACATCAAAATATAGTTCAACAAATTTTAGCTCAAAATCCTTCCCAAACTCAAATAATTCAACAGTCACCTCCTATCCAGAGCACAAATTCTCAAGCTATAACAAATCAAAGTAAACTGAATCAACCTGCACCGTCAGCTAATTCAAATCAGCAAAATAGCAATTCCACAAACTCAATTCAACCAGTAAACAATAATAACCATTCAATAACTAATGTAAACCAACAATTAAGTTCTGTTAATTCAGGTCAGCAATCTAATATCGCTTCTTTAAATCAACAAACTGGGCAAACGCAACAATGCCCATCAAGTACTTCACAAAATAGTGGTGCTAATAACTCAAGTTCTACAGCGCCAACAGCAAATAGCTCGAACACGTCGAATAATTCAAATGAACAAAACTCTGCACAACAAAATCCATCTGCGCCGCCTCCACCGCCGCCTGTACAGAAAAACAAAACTGATGAAGATATTGCAGATATTAATTACATATATGTTTGTGATTGGAGAAATTGTCCTCGAAAAAAATATAAATCTGTACAGGAAATTTATAAGCATGCATGTCAAGTACATTGCCCAGAAGGATTGGATATAGGCGCAGAAATATATTGCCAATGGGGTCCTGGACCAGGTTTCTGTGATAATATTCCAAGAAAAAGATTCTCCTTAATGACACATTTACTTGATCGTCATTGCACTATGGAGGTATAAAATTAAATGTACCGGGTAGTCCTCTATAATAATTTCATTTTTTTTTTGTTTTAGAGCATGAAGGCAGCAGTTCAACGTCGTTTATTAATGGGAATTCCTCAACCCACGCACGCTAACCCGGTTACAATTATAAAAAGTAACGAAGCTCGTGGTTCCACAGCTTCGCCCGCCTTATCGACGTCGTCATCGGGCTCAACTCCTTCTGGGGCTGTTATATCAGCCGCAATGCATGCAATCAAAAGACATTCAAATGATTTTATAAATCCAAAAGAACTAATGGTAAGAAGTATTTTTTAAGAAACAAAGAATTGTTCTAATTTTCAATTTATTAGGATGAAAATGAAGGACCTGTTACAAAAAGTATTCGATTGACAGCATCTTTAATTTTGAGAAATTTGGTAACATATACCGACAAAGCTAAACGGTACAACAAAGGATAAATTTTATTAATTTTATATTATTTTAATTGATTCTCTTTTAGACACATACGTCAATACGAACCTCATTTGGCGGGGGTAGCCTTAAGTAACGTTGAATCAAGTCGAACCATTTCTCAAATCTTGTATGAGTTAAACAATTAACTATGATTTATTTTGAATTTTTTTTCTCGAACAACTGGCTCGTTATTTATATTTAAGCATTTTTTTTCGACCTTTTCAATTAATTATTTCAGATATTAGATTCTAAGAAGGAAGTGATTACAACTGATGAATAGATTAGAAAATAAACTATAATTTTTTAAAATCTGTTTTTTATTTACATTTCAAAAATCCATATGAACTGAACCATTAATCAATTAATTATTTCATTAATCCAATGTTCATATTTTCCTACAAGTGTGTAGATACTTGGAATTCCACGTTCACCACAACTTAATCCATTCGATACAATACCATATAAATATTTATTTCCTTTGTAATAACATATTAGTGGACCACCAGAATCACCCTAGAAATAGTACATTTATATTTGTTTTAATTAATAATATTCAATTAAATCTTTCCTTATTAAAATATTTATTTAAAATTATCAAATTATATAATTTTTTTTTTCAATCTTACTTGACAAACATCTTCCCCGTCTAATCCAACCGCACAAATTGTATTATCTTCAAATTTTGGTGCCATAATTCGTCCCAAAATAGAAATACATTCTTCATTTGTTATTAACTTTACTGTTGCTTTATACAAATGATTTTGATAATCTCCACCATACTTCAGTGCTCCAAATCCCATTATATTGCATGTCATTTGTTTATTCAGAAAATTGTTCAATTTAATTTTGTTTGAAAAAGTTCCGGTATAGTTCAATGTTTTATTCTGATGTGGAGAAATTTTAATTAACGCTATATCATTTTTCATTGTAAACCTAAAATCATGAATTATTTTTTTTAGATAATAAAAAAACAAAAAAAAAATTGCAAGCAATCACTCATTAAATCGATATAGTTTAATCCTTTGAACTTTTTCTCTAGAAGGATTCCATGATTCCGATACAGTAATTCCAATTTGAATATAAAGGTTAACAGGATCACTAAAGAATCAGTTTATCAGTATATATTTATATAAATATTTTTATTTTAATTTTATTTGTATATTAAACACTTTTATGAACGCAATACTACAAAACGATTACTGATGCAAAGCATAATGCAATGAATATGCAATACATTTGAACTATTCTATAAGATCAAAGAAATTCATATGATTTAACGGCGCTAGCCGAAGTGCAATGAACATAAATATAGCGCAGTTTTCCTTGTATATCGTGATATACCTCGTTCATGAATAGGCCTAATATGTTTAGTAATCATAATATAATAATATATTTACCGATTATAAACACAATGAGCAGCAGTCAAGACCCAATATTCTAAGACAAAATTAAAATGCAAATACTAATATATTTTAAACTATGTATGCATGTATATAACATCATTATTAACATTACTATTACCATTTATTAAAGTACCTCCACATAAATGAATATATTTAGGCCTATGTCCAACTGGTTGAATACATTTCTCTTGTATTGAAACAACGTATTTATAATTTTTAGCACCTATTTCAAAAATTTTATTTAATATTTTATTAAAAATATTTTATACACAAAGGTTTTTTTTTACGTTCTGGTTTAATTTTTAGACCTTTGACAATGGCTGCGCAAAACGGAAAATTTGACACGAAAAAACATAGTATTAAAATTTTATGGAGGCTCTTCTTCATTTTAAAAAAACATACTTAAAATGTAAATGCTTTTAAATCTGCTAATCTTAATCCTATTCTCAATTTCTTCTTAGCTTCTGTTTATTAAAATTTTTTCGTTAAAACTGCCAAATTAGGATAGAAATAAGAACTTGTTATATTATTTTTTTTGCAATATGAACCTAAATAAATATTTTTATAATGCAAACCCTTTATTAGTAGTAAGTGTATAATGATAAGCGCAAATATTACGTAAATGGTAAATTAAAGATCTATTGCATTGCTTCGAAAAAAAAAAATTTGTAAATTGTGTTTATGGCAGTTTTATTACATAATAATGAATAATTAATGTTATAACAGTAATAAAATTTGAATGCAATTGTTAATGCATGAATTTAAACAATATTGTTATACTTTAAATGTTGATTTTCAAATACTTAATAGCAATTAAGTGTTTTATTGAAGTTACGTTGCTACTTCGTTTTTCAAAATAACTATAGGTGATATATGAAATTTAAGATGTCCAATTATTTTTTTATTAAATATTAGTTATAATTTTGATGTCTATTGAAGTAATGTAAAGATAAAAATTCAAACATTTCTAACTAAAAAATTTTGATATACAAGATAATTTAATTAGTAAAAGAAAATTTAAATATTACTAATTACGAAATATTAATTTTGTCGTTTCGGAAATGTTTTCTTACTTCTTCCCTATACATATTAACATGTTGAATTCCACAATCTCCATGCTGAAGTTAAATTGAAGTTGTGGCAGAATTGAATTTTAGGTTACTTAATTATTGACTTCTTATAAAAAAAATAAATTTAACTCTATTAAAATGCTTGACAGTGATATAATAACCTACAACTTGTAAAAAATTAATGCATTAATTATAAACGGTTTTTTAAACCTAGAATATTTTAACAGGTCTGATGTTCAGACAATAATTGTATCTCATATATTGTTTTCATTCGTATAATCTAGTATGTACCTAGAATTTTTAAAAATGCTTATAAATAATTGTAAGTCTGTTCTACTAACATTTTTAGAACTACGTGAAATAAATGCAACAATATCTAAATTCAGCAAGAAATTGAAAATTTAACAACGCAATAATTGTGCTTTACTGTACTCGTATAATATTAAAGCACATTACCTACATATACTGGAATAAATAAATGAGAAAAGGTTCCAGAATCTTTATTTAATAAAATGTGGAAAAAGAAATCTAAATTAATATTTTTGTCAATTCAAACAGTACAATCGATTTTATCTTAAAATTTTCTTTCATATTCTATTATTAATAACAGCTGTTTAAATAATATTTAAATTGTTGCCCGTAGCTTACGTTAAAAAAAAATTAAATGATAAATTAATTTTTTTTCTGACCAAGTAGTGTGGGCAAAGCATTGACTATATAAATATGAAATTGAGGTTTGTTAACTTATCAATTTTATTACTTCACAAATTAAAAATTATTTTTGCTGGACGGTCAGCCGTAATCTGCATCATAGAGGAATTTACATTTCACCGTAAAGAACGCAATTATTCTGTTTTAGAATAAATTTTTGTCATACATAAAATTAATTAATTTATTTTCGGTATATTGATCATAAACTTACCTGGAGTTTGTCGTCTCCTCCAAAGTTGCTTCAAACGCATCTAAATTGTCTCTCTCTGTTTCCACATTTTCGTCTATGACAACCGAGTGCTTATTTAACACTTGCTTTTTTAATAATTTTCCTTGCGCGCTGTGTTTTTTCCAGCATTTCTTGTGGTTTTGCCACATACAGAGGCCACACCAAACAATTGAGTCGCCCCTCGTCCCAAAATACTTCCAAACTACCGATCTGTTAAAATGTCGCTCATATAGATCTTCATACTCCTAAAAATATATGTTAAATAAATTAATATATAATTTATATATAGAGGTAAAGAAAAATATTTATACTTGTGGCGCTTGAAGTTCCTGCTACCTGGAGGTAGGGATGTCATTCTAAAGGAAATAAAAAAAATATTATTGAATTGGATTTAAATTTAAAATATAAAACAACTTGAAAAACGGTTGGGGAGCAACCGCGAATATCCCGTCTGCCATCCAAATATCGGCTGACTCTAAGCCGGCAGCCATCTCCTCATGGGCAAAAATAAGAATTCTATTTGCTTCCGACACACCTGAATCATATAAAATATGTTGTACCAGATCTTCAGGCATGCCGGAAGAATTTTTCTTATAATGTGAATTAAATGGCCGTCTTAGAGCCTTTTTCACACTTTCTTCAGACGGCAAACGAGACCTCTCCTCCACAGACATTCTAAAAGTGACATCCATAATGACCTGCACATAAGAAAAAAATTATTTTCAATATGATTATATTATAATATAATGTTTAAAATAACTTACTGAATTTGGGGTGGTCATCGAATATAACATGGCATTTTTCATTTTTGTTATGGCCTCTTCGACCACCGCGTCATGTATTTGAAATATGTGGACATGGTTATGGTTGGCCCCTTTTTTAATTGCCCCATTTTTAAAGACATTTATAAATGCAGGGCATTTTTTTTGGAAAGCCCTACATTTATATGTGTCATAATAATAATTTTTTCTGAAAAAGAAAATTTGCATTATCTTGATGTACCAAATATTACTACTACGAGTACTCATACCTTTATATATGAAGTCATATTTTTCATATTTAATAATTTGCAAAAATTATGCAAATTTTAAACTAAACTAAACTAAATATGAAATAAAAATTTCATATTTAGTGGTTAATTTGATTAACTAAAAATATATGTTAAACAAATTAATATATAATTTATATATAGAAGTAAAGAAAAATACTTACACTTGTGGCACTTGAAGTTCCTGCTTCTGGAGGTAGGAATGTCATTCTAAAGGAAATTAAAAAAAATAGAATTGAATTGGATTTAAATTTGAAATATAAAAATAAAATAATAATTAATTTTCGCACATATCTTTTTGACACGCTTTACCTACCAAAATGCTTATAGGGAAAACTGGCACATAATGCTTATAAGAAATTGAAAAAATGTTGAGACCAAAGTATATCTATAATAAGTAGTTCGACTCGTTCCATTTCGTTAGTTTTCGTTTGCATCTTGCTTCCAAATTCTTAAAATATTCCATTTTTTTTTAGAATTAGATGGTAATAAGAGTTGTGTAGGCAAGAAAAAAATAAAATATTGTAAACAAACGAGTGTATCAAAAACATTGAACTAAAATAAAATAAAATTAAGTTAGGTAAAAATTTTGTTATTTTTATTTTAATAATAACAAAATTTATTTTTCATTTTATAAATTTTGGGTAAAAAATTCGAATGTATGAAAGCAAAAGAGTTTGAAATTTCATGTATGAATGTACACATGCACGTATCTGGTACAGTAGATACACAGTATCAGGTAGTGACATAGAAATAAAGTAATTTATAAAGAAAAAAAGGTGTATGCATACTGATTAATACTTTATGAAATATATTAACGATTCATTGGAAATATGTTCTAAATTTATTAAGATTGAAATAAAAATAAAAAATTTAAAGATAATTTATTTATTTATTGATAATTAACAATTACAAATGCTTAAATATTCTGAAAATAGTTGTGAAAAAATTAAAATATTTTCAAAAGTACAAATTTACCTCTGCACATCATTTGGCAACAAATAAAATTTTCGTGTCGGCTTTTTTTCATCCCAAACACTTCAAATAATGTTTACCCATTTTTGTAAAAAAAATATTTTTTCACGACTATTTAAATTTTTTTTTTAATATTATACGTCTTTTCAAAATTTATTTTTGTTATTTTTCAAAATTATATATAAATTATAATAATTTTTTTTAAACATTTTTTTTCCGCTTCGCTTTTGTAATATGAATACACCTTTTTTGCCACATTGTAATGGAATAAGTTACAAAAATAAAACTCCCGCCTTTAAAATTCTTAATATTTTTTCCTATACTTTATATAGGCAAAAATAAATAACTCCCGCTTTCAAAAATACATTATAAAAAACAGATAGACATCTATTGCGTATTCTTTCCCTCTCCCAAAAATTTTTATGTGTATACAAATGAAAATAAGAAGGTATTCTGGTTAAATCTTTTAACTAAGGGAATTTTTTGTATACAAACATTGGTGATTGTATTAGTGTGATGTAAACGGAGAGTCGAACTACTTATTAATAGATATACTTTGGTTGAGACTTTGAAAGAAAAACAAATTGAGAAAGAGGAAAAATAAAAACAAATTATTAATAATTTACATATTATGTAGGCACGAGTTAATGTCTTTATATCTAACAAGTCCCAATGCTCAGAGAGAAACTTGAAAGCACACCTTATTTTATATGGCCTTTTTTAAATCGAAGTGGCTATTTTTTGAGAAGAAATATTAAAATAAATTCACACTTATTATAAAGCAGGTAAAATTTAGAACATATATTTGAAAAATCAAAAAAATATATTAATATTTTCATTGATAATTATTTTAAAATTTAAAAAAAAGCGGAAAAACAACAAACACAACCTTCGCCTTCAACGTTTTATTTGTTACTGAAAGCATTTCATTATTTTTAAGTGAACAGCTTTTTTTTCTCATAGGGTAAGTTAACGCAAGATATGGGAAGTACCTGTGGTGTCAAGTTGAAAATATAATTAATGAAAGATAATTCTTAAATATTGATATAAATACATAGTAAAGAAAAAATTTGAAGAGGGAATTAGAAAATAATATCTAAAATACAATCAAATATTATTTGTTAAATACAAATTTTATATAAACTTCAAAATTTTACCTCTATTTTTATTTGAAAAAATATTAAAAACTTACTATCATTTTTATCAATTACCTAAGAAAAAAAAATATTTAAAATGTTTGGAAAAAACAATCATATATTTTTATGACCGGATTTGAATATTTTTCTATTTTTGAAATAAATGGTATTTTACCAAATGACTCGAAAATTCCGACTGTAAAATAACAGGTATTTTAAAATTTTTGTTCAGGTATTTTAAAATTCTTTCCGTTTAGAATTAAGATAGGTCATACATACACATGCAGGGACATTTTATAAATAGATTGCTCTTGTTTACCTGCTAATAAAATATGAAAAAAGAGCACAGCAAAATTTTTGAAGCACTCAATATAACATGTTTGAAATAGTTTTAAAATAATTATTTAAAAAAAAATTTATTGGAAGTAGGTACATACATATTTATTTTTAATAATTTAAAAACTAACTGAAATTATTTGAAACAATTTTATAAGTAACGTATGAATAATCGAAATGAGATAATTCAAATTGTTGAAATGTGTCAACCTATATTACTTTTAATAACATTTTTGTTAGCCGACACTACTCAACTTACCTTATTGGGAAATACAAAATGTGCATAAAAAATCATACATCCTTCCTCATTAACATTTGAAACCATACTGAAATATGAATTTGAAATTTTTTTTCATTTTTTCTTTCCTCCTACCTTTCTTCTTTTTCGTGCAATAGAATTTAAATGGGAAGCTTTTTAAAAAATGTGTATAATATCCTGAGATTTTTTAAAATATTAATCTCTTTTTTACGTAAAAAAAAAGAAAAAAATAATAAAAAATATGACACGATCAGTGGCATTTAAAGAAAAAACCAACAACGAGGCCAAAAATTCGTAACATTTCGTAAAAAAAATTGAGTATTGGGACTTGTTAGATATAAAGACATTAGTGGCATTTAAAGAAAAAACCAACAACGAGGCCAAAAATTCGTAACATTTCGTAAAAAAAATTGAGTATTGGGACTTGTTAGATATAAAGACATTACACGAGTCAATATATAATAGAGATGAGAAATTTTTAGAAGGAGATGTATAAGTAGTATATGCATATGTATATCCTTATAGATCAAAAGAAATAAAAATGTATAACACTTTATAATGTATTATTAATATATACAAACATATATACATATGCATATACTATTTAGCTGACTATAATGAGTGGTTAATCATTTAAAATGGTGGTTTTCTTTTTTAAAAAACTCAAAGTTAAACGATTTAAATAAAATTGTATAAGAATTTTAGGGCACTATTGAAAAAATGAAAAAAAAATCCATTACTTACCTGTTGAATAGGAATCCGCGCTATTATTAAATATTTATATGATTTAATAGGTATAATTTAAGAGAAGAAATAAAAAGAGAAATTAATATTTTTCATATGTACATACATACATATATTGTTTGAGTGTGTTAAAATTATGACAAATTCTTTAAACTTTTCCTCTAAATTTTCAAAAAAAAACTCAAGTCTTATATTATTTTTTTTTTCACTATAATCAAGTTTTATTTAAATAATAACTAAAATTAGTATTATTATTAAGTGCATTTGATTTTAAGAAATTAAGAAATTTTAATTTTTAATATACATATGTACATACATATGTATGTATGAATAATTTTTAATTGAAATTTTTATTATTAATATTCGCTAATCACTAAAATACACCGCTCACTTTAACGTATTAATCGAAAAAGATGAAGTTTTTTTTGTTTTTATTTACAATAGGCGACAATAGAGAACTATTTAAATCAGACAATGCATTCATAAACAGCGTTCCCAGTTGGATACAATTGTATCCATTTGGATAAATTTGAGCTTGGATACAAATTTACTCGAATCTGCTAAAATGTCGAAATTGGCTAAATTTTAAAATTTTGCTGAAATATGGATAAATTTTTTTTTTCAAACACTAAATAAATATTACAAAACAGTTAAAATGCTGCTAATATTAAATCGCGAAGTTGCTATCTTCAATAAATGTTATTTGTTGGCTCTTCGACTCCTTCTATTTTATTCTTCCTTCTATTTGAATCGTCTTTACCGGCATAGTTCAACAACTACAGAACATAAACTAAGTCGTATGTTTTTCTTACTTTAACTTTTACATTTAAAATGTAATAAAAGTTGTATGTGATTTCTTAAAGAATTTATTATAAATAACAAAACTCATAGTGTGGAATAAAGCAAATTAATTATGAGTTAATTTATACAAAACAAGACGACTTAGTAATAATAAGGCTATTTTAAGAGGTTGGATACATTTTTTTCTCGAAGCTGGACACATTTTGTTTTTACCGAATGGGAACACTATTCATAAATCACACATGTAATAATTCGAGAGCTGGTTTAATATATATGTATGTGACTTTTTGGCGAGTAATTCGTGAAAAATAGGAATACTTGAAATAATAGGCTTTATATATGCATATTAAGTTAATTAAGTGACATTAAGTTAGGTAATTTTGCAAGTTTTTACAAATAAAGAATTTCTTTGATTATTTTTTGATTAAAATACTTTGAAAATTATTTTGATTAAAATAACAGAAACATGTATGTATTCTAAAAATTGCTTTAATTAACGACTCATTAATGTCGTTCTATTGAACACATTACCCACAAAATTTATCAAAAACTTTATTTTCAAAACTGGTTATTTTAATATTTTAAGCAAATACAAAAATTATGCCGTTTTGCCTATACCCCAAACTTTCCACTATAAATTTAGCAAGATTGATCTTTGGAACTATACTTTGGTGATTTGTTTTCAGTAATTTCAACTTCTGTATAGGATTCATGAGATATATGAGGAGGTAATATGGCCACAAAGTCTAAACCAGAGTTTTTAGTAATTTCAAGCACTCCTTTTGTACTCCCAAAAAAGAAACGAAGACATTATTACTGAAAATTTCTTTAGGTTTAATGTTTTCATTGCTTCAACAACAATTTGAGTTATGAATTTTACTAATACAACATTATAGTTGCGGAATCAAAAAGAATGTGCCTAAATTTCTTCATGCAACTGCAGAACAGATGGATGACGTAACAATTTGAGTTCCGGTTGACATTTCCGTAGTTGGCTCCAAATTATTTCGGGTTCCTAAAATGACGCACACTCCTTCAACACCATTAAGCAAATTTTTAACGTTATCCAATTTTGTAGCATCCCCTTCCACAAGTTCTATTTCTTGTTTTGTTTTAAATGCCTCTGACACGGTACTTAAGTTCTTGTACATTAAACGAACTTTAAATCCTAATATAAAATATGAAGCGCTTATAATTATTTCTATAGGAGTTAACTTTAAATTACGCTTTAGGAGTTAACTTCAAAATTTTATAGTGAGTTAGTTTCAACCTTTTTTAACAGCATAGTCACAATAAAGCAATTTTATTAATTTTTCGTTATTCCAGATTATTGAATTTAAGTTAGACAAAACTTCTAAATTACAAAAAGCAGGCTTTCTTCTTCGCTAATGTATTTTTAAATTCTGACTGATTGAATAAGTTATAATCAAACAATTATGATTATCATCAAACGTTCTTGTTATATCGTAATTTTATTTTGAACTTTCTTCGATTTATGTTTGAATGCAGTTTATGTCGTTCAATTTTCAAACAGATTGAATACGTAACTCACAATTTCAATTATTAATTTTCCTCACAATTTCAATTATTAATTTATCTTTTAACCAATAGAGATCGTTACACAATCATTTTAATATGTTCATGTAGAGATTTTACTACTAGAGTGCACTTATTAATATACATGTTCTAATATTTTTATGGTTTGTATTCCAACTAAAATTTTTTTAATTATTAATTTGGCGACATCTATCAACCAAAAATAGCAAAATAATAAAATAAGAAAAATTTACACAAGACAACACGTGTTCTTTATCTTATTTACAATAAATACTCTTTTCGATTGCCCGATAATAAAAAATATGGACTTGAATGGAATTTTTGTAGAAAGTGTCAACCCTTTTTATTTTTCATGTAGACCTACCTATAAAAAACTAAAAAACAAATTTAACATCCATAATTTGTTAAATCCTTATGGTGAAAATAAAACACATATTTAAAAAAAAAATTATATAATAATTATTTCAATTATTGTTAACCACTTACTAACTACATAAATTATATTCTTAAGCAATAAACTAAAGAGTATTATTTCAAAAGAAACTTAAAGAGTTTTGTATTCAAATAAATTGCTTAATTGATTTTTATTTTTAAATAATGTTTAACTAATGCTATGCAAACTTCTGCATCTTCGGCACTGTTATGTCCACCCTCTAAAATAAAAAAAAAATAAAGAAGTATGAATGCATATACAAGTATACTACTCTTCACTACAATATTTTTCAACTACACATACCGTCTTCTTGAATTATTCTTTTTAAATTTTCTATACATAAGTTTTTTAAAGCACGTTTTTTAGGTGGTCCCATTTTATGCGGATATAATACTGATGTATCGACTATACAACTATGAATCAATTTCAATGCTTTCATGTCACTTTCTAAGCTATGACCAATTAAAATAGTTTTAGAATGAAACATAGATAATAAAATTGCTTGTACATCTCTAATAGTTCTTTTTTCATTTCTTAACATTTCCTCTGTAATACCTGAGAAACTATAAATATAAAATTAATCATTTTAGTTATATAGAGACTTTGTTATGTTTATGTTTATTTACACTGTATTGTAATCAATTATTTTGTTTTCCGGTTTCACCAGAGCATCGTATACCACTTTTTCTTCAAAATTAACAACAGTAACTCTTGTTAATTCTATGCCTTCAGTTGTATAACACATTTCGCAATCCAAAGCAAAAATATCCTTTTTGGTTGACGTATAATTCTTGCCTTTATCAATCGTTTGAACAAAACCCTTCAAATTATTTAGATCCGTGTATTCTGTAACATGATAATTCGCGTACGTACACCCGGTCGATCCGGCAGGTTGTTGACAACATTGATGAAAATTATCTGTAAAACCTAAATAAAACAAAAACAAGGAAAACTATTTAAATCCAGTATGACGACAAATTATAAAATTACCGCGTCTATATCCTATTCCTTTAGGGTGGTAGCAACATTCATCAATGGCTTCATTTTCATACATTGCTATATTAAAAGTTTTTGAACAACGCCTACATATTCGTTCATTTTCTCTGGCTGCCTTTGTTTGTGGCTTAATATTATGGAATATTGCAGTTCCACGTTTAGCACCTGGTCTAGGGAAACCGTTCTTCATTAATTGTTCATCATTTAAACACAATTCACTTATCATTTCGTAGACTTTTTCGCTAGATACTCTATCAAAAGGATTTGCTGGACTATATCTGAAATTATTATTTATAAACATTGTTAAAAAACGTTCATATTTTGAAAAAAATAGTTTTTTTGCCTAACTTTTTATTCACAGAAACATTTGATGCAAATTTTCCTGCTAAAATTACTTCATGTGATACAGTTTTGTTTCTTTCAGTGCACACGTTCCCAGCAGCTGCAAAATAGTTTGGTTTTTGTTTTTGAAAATTTTTTATACAAAATTTAAAATAGAGCTTCACCTATCGATTCTTTTCGAAGTTTGTTAATTGCCAAAACTGCGCTACTTCGATAAATAATAGGCGTGCTACATTTTTTAAATACAGTTAACTCTTCAGTTTGGGCTCTTTCCCAAGCATCTTCACACTTTGGATAAATATCTAAACAATATTTCACCATTTGGTTGTAATGCTGCATACGAATGTTGTAAGATATTTTAGTTGAATTTGGTTCTAAAACTGGGGGTGCTGGCTGATTTTGTACTTCTTCTGAGTTAGATTTCGACCCAGTTACAGTAGCTGTAGTTTTCGGATTGTGAGCTTTTCTGGATTCGCCTTTTGCAACTGATTGCGCTAGTGTCGGACCTTTCAATTTTCTCATTTCATCTACTTTCTTTTTTGCTTTTTCCAAAGCTAAATAGTTCACAATAGGCTTGACTAAAGTTAAAACCAAAAACAATAAAAAAAATAAATAGATCAGTAAAAAAACTACCAGCAATTTTGGGGGGTGTTAAATAACTTTTCGGGATTAGCGGGGTAAGTGTTTGTTTTTGTGCCATAGTGGCTTTTCTTAAATTCTCTTCTGCTTCCCGTAATTTCTCTTCTGCTTCTTTAACTAGAGCTAATGCGGCGGCTTCTGTTTCTTTCTTTTCTTTTCGTAACTGTTCCTGCCTGTTATATACAGACTAATATACGCAAATAAAATTAGGTAAATGAACGTACCAAACTAGACAATATTGAATTACGAAATCGAATTTTACCTGGTAGGCATTTTGCACATGATTTATCTTTTTAATGATAGGAACTTCAAAATTCTTTCCTGTTGCTGTTGCCCCTTCATGCGCTATTCTTTTCCTTTTGTTGTCGTCTTGTGGATTTTCATCTACAGAATCAAATGATTTCCTTTTTTGTTTTGAATCAATCTCTTTTGTGATGTTTTTCGGCTCATTACTTTTTTGAGTGTTTTTAAATTCCTCGAAAATTTGCTTGCATTGCTCCAACACATCATCTTCATCACTATCTGCAATTGCTTCGGACAAATGAGCATGTAATGGACTTGATTCCTTAAATAGGTTTTCTGCTTTTGATTCGGAAGATTTTTCTGATTCTAAATTTGATTTTTCTCTAGAATTCAAGTTTTTTGGTTTATGTGATGATCGTGACTTATGTTTTGACGAGCTCGAACTACTAGGAATATGACGATGACTATGACTTTTCGATGAAGCTTTTTTGCTTGACTTAGACGATGAAGAGTGCGTCGAAGCTTTTTCTTTATGCTTGTTTTTATCTTTGCTCTCTTTATCTGATGAGGATTTGTGCTTTGCACGATGTTTTTTGTGCTCTTGGCTGCTACTAGAGCTATGAGAATTGTGATGTCTTGATTTACTTTTCTTCGCATCTACCCTATCAGAAGAGCGGCTTACAGAATTTTGTTTTTTAACTTCCTTTTCTTTAGTTTTTAATGATTGTTTAATTGTATTTTTGTCTCCTTCCAAAGTGGCATTTTCATTCTTTTCACCATTTTCGCAAATCACATTATTCACTGGCACATCATCTTTGCCTCCGCTATTACTTTTGTTGTCCTCTAACAACATATCTTCTTCTTTATCATATTCTTCTTTAATTTCTTCATCCTCGCTAAACTTTGCTACAATATCTGTTATTAAATCTAATTCTTCCGAACAATCATCTAAGTCAATATCTTTAGATCCCTCCTTCTCTTCATCTCCATTCTGTGTTACTTTATTTGATGGAATATAAACTGGAACATCGTTAGGTTTAGACTCATAACGAATTTTATCATTGATTCCAGGTTGAGTTGGTACGTACTCAAGTTTAGATTTTTTTTTTACTGGAGAACTGTCTAAAGTTAGAAGCTTTGGCAAAACTTTGGGTGTTGGTATATAAACTGGGATTTCCTGATTTTCCTCGTCTACGAAAATATTACAAGTTTATTTAATTTAATATCAAAATAAAAATTTCACACCTTTCTTCGCATGTTTAAAATGACAGTACGGCCTTGTGCAACTTTTTTGAGAATCATAATAAGGGCAAGCTATCGATTTAAATAAACCAGTGGATGGTAGCATCTCCGTCTAATATAAGTGTTACAATAAGTATATCAAATAAATTCTGTTTGCTTTCTTTCCGGGATAAAAAATAAATAATTAAAAATTGTCACAATGTAGCTGTCATTGTCATATTTTCGTTCTTGCAAAATGAACTTTAAAGTCTCGGAAATCTGGCAGTGCCTCACAAACTGTACAACAGTAAACAACATGTCGATGTTTTGCTTTTGCAGACCACACAATAAACAATTAAGAAATTATCAGTTTAGACATCTCTAATATTTTCAACTAAAAATTTAAAATCTAGGAAATAATTACCTCTGAAAGAAACATTGAAATATGTATGTATGTGAAAGAATTTGACTTTAATATTGAAGGAGGTAATATTGAATTGACAGAGAGAACAGTTACGGATGTTATTTACTATTTACGTACAGGCATAATCCAACGGACGTAGCGTCATACCACTGTTCGCTCGAACAAGTATTGTGCCATTGGTCCGTACCTGCGGTTCCTCTCGTACTACGCAGGAATGCTGTCACAATAATATATTGTCATCAGTAGGGTAAAACTAACCTGTCTCACGACGGTCTAACCACGACGGATCGGTTGTTGTGGCCGACCATCCCCAAAAGAGGGAAAGGTCGGAAAGCAACACCCCTGATGCAGGGCCCTCAAAGAAGAGGTCGATGAAGGGCAATGTTGAGGAAAAGGTCCCTGGGAACATTCCTCAACAAAACCCGAAAATGACTTCTTATCGGGATGCAGTAGCACAGGTCAAGGTGGCCATCACTCATAGACTGCATCCAGAGGAAAGGCTATCCGAAGTCCAGATGGGGAAAATCAAAGTAGCCATCATGGATGAAATGGATAGGGTTGTGGACTCTCATCCACAATTCACTGCAGCGTTGCAAAGGGACGGATGGATATCCGTAACATGCAACAATCAAGACACCAGGGAGTGGATAACCAGTGTCTGCAGGAAGATAAAGCCTTGGGACGGTTGCGATGTCGTGGTACTGGATGGCGACAGCATGCCCAAACAGCATGTCTGCGTCACCTACGTACCAAAGGACGAGACAACCGTCAGTCTCTCCAGGGACAAATTTCTAAGTAGGATAGGGAAGCAAAATCCCAGCCTCAAGATAAGTTCCTGGAGGGTGCTGAGGATGGATAAGGAAAAGGACGGGGGCTGCTCCATCACCTTTTCCGTGGATGATTCCGGATTGGAAGATCTACGGAAAGCGGAGTTCCGACTTTTCCTGAATTTCTTCCGTGTTACCGTTCGGGTTAAAGGAAGAAAATCCTCTCAAGGTGCTGGCGGCAGGGCAGGACAAAATAAAAAACCAGTGCCCACCGCGACAACGACAACGACGAGCACTTCAGGCCAACCAAAAGAGCCAAAACTCATTGGAAAGCCTGAAGTCGCTCCGAAAATGGCGGCAAGGGAAACGGAAGGACCATCGACCAGCACGCCAAATACAAGCGTCCCGGGGGAACCAAAAGGGCTCAAGCCCATTGGGAAGCCCGGAAATGCTTCGGTATTTGCTGTTGCAGGGGCTAGCGTGGCACCTGGGGCGGCAAAAGAGGCTGTGGCAGGGCAGGCGCCCACCAAAATGTGTAAAAAGGCGAAAATGGGAGGTAAGGCTCATGTAAAGCCTTTGTCTAAAGGGCCAAAGCCCATAGACAAGAGCCGGAGGAAATAATATGGCTGTGAGGTGCATCCAAATAAATCTACAGCATGCTAGGGCATCTACTGATGTTCTGGCTCATAGATTTATGAAGGATCACCTCGATATCGCCCTTATCCAAGAGCCTTACATAGTGAAGGATCAGGTTAAGGGCCTAACAGGTGAGCTATTGTATGATAATACAACTGGGGGCAGGCCTAGGGCTTGCATCTTGTTTAGTAAAAAGCTAACGTATTTTCCCATTCCAGATTACTGTTCTAAGGATCAGGTAGCTGCGTTGGTGAAGGTGAAGTCCTGCGGGGGCTGGACAGAGTTCATTGTTTGCTCATCCTACCTCCCGGGGGACTGTGCCCACCCGGACGAGCAACTGAAGGATCTAGTGGACTTTTGTGGAAGGAGGAACTTCCAACTTATAATAGGAAGTGATGCCAATGCCCACCACACCGTCTGGGGAAGCAGCAATATAAACAAAAGAGGTGAGTGCCTACTTGAATTTATATATAGCAATAAATTAATGATTATGAATGAAGGCAATAGGCCGACATTCATAAATGCAATTAGGGAAGAGGTCCTTGACATCACCCTTTGCACTGAATTTATCGGCAGTAGGGTTGGTGGATGGCATGTCTCAAATGAGACATCCATGTCCGATCATAGGCAGATTAGGTTTGATATCATGGTCTCCGGGGGCCTGGCAGAAGAAATATATCGGGTGCCCCAATCCACAGATTGGAGTCAATTCGAAACGCTCCTCATGGATGGGATTAGATCCGTTCCTGCTTCTGTCAGAACGGTGATGGATATCGAACTGGCCAGCGAGGCCCTGACGGCGGCTATTACTAATGCCTATCACGGGAGCTGCCGTGCTAAGCCGAGGCGGAGCAATAGGAAGTGCCCGTGGTGGAATGAGGAGCTTTCAAGGCTTAGACTAAAGACCAGGAAGCTATTCAATAGGGCCAAAGCGTCAGGTTCGTGGGAAGAGTATAAGGACTCACTCACAAAATACAATAAAGAAATTAGGAAAGCGAAGAGAATCTCGTGGAGGGCGTTCTGCAAGGGCATTGATGAACTCCCCAGCAGTGCGCGTCTTCACAGGGTGCTTTCCAAAAAGTATGCTAGTAGGTTGGGCCTAATGGAACGTCCTGATGGCTCCATGACTGAGAACGGAAGGCAGACGTTGGAGCTTATGGCGTCAACGCACTTTCCTGACTCGGAGATTCTTCGGAATCACTCAAATGCAGTCATCGAACCGGGGGCACCCTGGCCCAGGAGGGATGACTGGCAACGATCCCGTCTAGTCTTCACGATGGGCAGGATTAGATGGGCTGTTTTCTCTTTCAGGCCCTTCAAATCTCCAGGTGATGACGGGATATATCCTGCATTTTTGCAGAGGGGTTTCCAACATATCGCTAGAGCACTGTTGGGAATTTTTCGCGCCAGCTATGCGTGGGGTTACATCCCTCAGGCATGGAGGGTGGCTAAAGTGACGTATATTCCGAAGGTGGGTAAGCGACCAAGCAACCACCCAAGGTCTTTCCGTCCAATCAGCCTTACTTCTTTTCTATTGAAAGCAATGGAAAAAGTGATTGATAGATTTATACGGGACGGTGCACTGGGAAGCAATCCCTTGCATGAATCTCAATACGCCTATCAGTCGGGAAGGTCTACTGTACTCGCTCTGCAGAGTCTGGTGGGGGTCCTTGAAAACTCACTGGAAGTGCGGGAGGTAGCAGTTGGCTGCTTCCTTGATATAGAGGGAGCTTTTGACAACACCCGATATCATGTCATCTGTGAGTCGTTGCACAAACGAGGGATTGATGCGACGACTAGCAGATGGGTCAATCGGATGCTACAGGATAGGATTATTAAGTCCACCATAGCTGACGATATACTCTTCATCTCCGCTGCAAAAGGATGTCCGCAGGGCGGGGTTCTTTCGCCCCTCCTGTGGTCCATTGTAGTGGATGATCTAATAGCTGCTCTCAGGGGCTCCGGGGCGCGTGTCTGGGGATACGCTGACGATGTGGCCTTCGTCGTGCGGGGAAAATTTGAGAGCACTATTTCTGATCTTCTACAGCAAAATTTACGTGTTGTGGAAAGGTGGTGCAAAGGCGTTGAGTTAAATATAAATCCAAGCAAGAGCACTTTGGTCGCCTTCACCAGACGCAGAAGCAGGGACAGATTAACGAGCCCAATTCTGTTTGGTGAACGTATTAGTTACTCGAGGGAGGTGAAGTATCTGGGGGTAACCCTGGATGATCGTCTCTCTTGGAATACCCATATCGATAGAGTTATCGGGAGAGCTACGGCGGCCTTGTGGACGTGTAGGAGCTTCATCGGGGGGACCTGGGGAATTAGTCCCAGAATAGCACTGTGGCTATATACGGCCCTTGCTAGGCCCATCGTCACCTATGCGTCGATTGTATGGTGCCGTAAAGCTCAGCAGGCGGGTGTGCGGGCCAAGCTAGAAAAGCTACAGAGGCTGGCCTGCCTGGGAGTGACCGGGGCGATGCGGACGGCTCCCACCGCTGCATTGGAGGTGATGATCGGATTGCCGCCACTGCACCTCCATATATTGAAGGAAGCTCGGCTGGTGACTTACCGACTTCTCTCTGGCGAGGACGGGGCAGGGCTAAAGTTGGCCCACAGAACTCACAGAGACTTCATTGAGGGCGATCCGATTCTAAGGATAACCATGTCAGATACCTGTCTGCCGCGGTACAACTTCGACCACAAGTACAGGGTTCTGTTTCCTGATCGATGGACGTGGGATCGGGGTGGTCCGGTACTTGGGTCGGGTTCGAGCGTGTGGTATGCGGACGGATCCAAAACGGAGTCGGGTGTGGGCTCGGGCGTATACGGTGTCCGCCCGGACACGCGTGTATATGCAACCCTTGACCCGTATTGCACAGTGTTCCAGGCCGAAATACATGCAATAGAGATCTGTCTGAGAATCAATTTGGAAAGGGGGTATAGAAACCGCACCATCTATGTGTTCTCAGACAGCAGGGCTGCACTGCTGGCGCTCCGTTCAGCTCAGGTTACATCCAAGCTGGTCTGGAGCTGCCTTGCTGCACTTATGGAATTGGCATCGGAAAACAGAGTGATGCTCATTTGGGTGCCGGGCCATAGTGGCCATGCGGGCAACGAAGTTGCCGATGAGTTGGCACGGAGGGGATCTGGGGCTGCCTTTGTGCAGCCGCTGCCTTTCTGTGGTCTGCCTTCTTCCGCCGTGGGGGCCAGGCTTGCCTGCCTACTCGCGGCGGAATGCAGTCGTCACTGGCGGGACACGAAAGGGTGCCGTCATGCGAAGGTGTTTGTTCCGGCGTGCTCCGGCGGATTCGCTGCGGAGTTGCTGGGGATGAGCAGGAGCCGGGTTCGCACTATTGCGAATTTCTTCACGGGGCACTGCCCGGTGAAATACCACCTGCACAGGCTGGGGAAGTCGGGCTCCCCCCTGTGCAGATTTTGTGGGGGTGGCGATGAGACCGCCGTGCACATTCTCTGCGACTGTCCGGCACTGGCTGTTCGGCGCCGCAATTGTCTTGGACATGGGTCCCTAAGTGTTCGGGAACTATTGTCCAACTCCCTTAGGGATATCTCCGGCTTTGTGATTGGGACGGGGATATTATAGACGGGAGGGTGGGGTGGCTACAATAAGTCAAAAATGGCTGCGGTGGCTTGGGGGGATGCTCCTGTCCCCACTCAGTTCCCTTAGAATCTACAATCTACAATCTACTATTTACGTATGCTTCAAAATTTGCAATTTTATCTGAGTTTGATGAAATTCGTATGCATATTACATAAACCCTGTTTGACAAAAATTACATAATTTTTTAGTTTTGACTTATTGCCATTTTTGTACATCAGTTTGCTAAAATTCTATTAAAAAAAAAAGACTCATATATGATCCAAAGAAATAACGTGTAAACCGCATTTTTCATTTGCACAATCTTTCTTTTAGACATTTATAATTTCGTCTGTCATTTGTCAACAAAACACTAGTATTAGCATTATAAAAGCTGGTGCTTTTGTAAAAGTAAAGAGAAAAGAAGTTGAAAGAATTCCGTTTTATTAAAAATTCCGGGTTATAATGGTAAAAATTTGCAACGAGATGGATACCCAATCAAAATTAGATATTTGTTCATTTAAGTCATGGTATAAAAAGTTTGAAAAAATTACGATCCCCTCAATTTGTATTCACATTCCAAAGGACGTTTTAGAGTATTTTCGTGATGAGCTAGTAATTTTACCAAAAGAGTGCTATACTTCAATAGTAGAAGAGGATAGCGAATGGGATAATGAAATAAACGAAGATAATACACCCGAATATCCAGAATTCAGTAATAATATTCGAAACGCGATAAAGGAATTGGATGGCTCCGTATTTTTAAAAACAAACTGGCACTGCCCAAAAGATGCTTTTTGGATAACAGCTGGACAAACTTTGAAAGTTAAAGATATAATAGATGCTTATCAACTAATTAAAGCTTCTAGCATTATTAAAAGAGATTTAAATTTTTGGTACTTAGATAATCAAAACAATCAAAGTACTAGAGATTTTTACTTGATATTACGAAAATGGATGGATATTCATCCAGGAACTGAATTCAGATGTTTTGTACGAAACAACAAATTGATTGCAATATCTCCTAGAGATTGGCCTCAATTTCATAAACATATTATTCAACAAAAGCATGAGATAGTGAATGACATACTATCTCTTTTTAAAGAAAAAATTCAATATCAGTTCCCCTTAGATGATTGTAAGTTAAAATAATAAGTTAATAGTATAATTTGCAAACATTTTTTTTTATAATAACAGATTGTTTTGACGTTGTAAGGCAAAGAAAAGATAATGTTATTTTACTAGACTTTTCGACTTTTGAAGAGAATTTTACGGATGCGTTGGCTTTTGATTGGGAGTTTTTAAAAAGTGAAGAAATTATTGCAGAGGAAAATGAAGCCGGCCTTCCCGAATTTCGTTATTTAAACTCAGATTGCGGCATTCAACCACACAGTAGAAATAATTATGCGATTCCACAAGATATAATAGACATGTTCAATCCACAAAATTCAGACACTAGAAGTAATTTAACAGATTTATTAGCTGCTAGAGTTCAAGAGGTTTGTCTTTGGTTTTAAGGTATAAATAAATATTTTCTTAATTTAATTTTAGGAAATGGAATTACAAAATCGAGAAAGCTGAAAGAAATATCAAGAAATGAATAGAAGATTTACAAAAATTTGCTTGTATAATAACTTTAAAAGGTAGTTTGATAGATATGTGGATAAGTAAATAAAACAATACCAAATAGCTTGTAATTCAGTAACATTTTCGAATGGTCAACTCTTTTTTTTTTAAAGTACCTATTCAAACTATTATAACAATAAAATTGTACGGTGATTACAATTTCTAAAATGTGATTTCTTAATTAAAATGTTATTTTGAATTGGCAAAAGCAACTCCTGTAAATTAATGGAACTTATAAAATGCCAAAATAAATTTACTTTAGTTATCCAAAAATGTGATGGCTGAATGAGGAAAATTAGGAAACAGAAACAAAGGTTTTAGAAATGCAAAAATACATACATATATCGTTGGAGTCACGCTTTTAAAATTATTTTTGTATTTGTTTGGATTTATTTCCATTACTAAACGTAAAAATTGTTTTACATTAAACTGAACTTAATTGAGTGCAAGAAATTTTAACTGAAATTGGAAATCTGGTTGAAAATCTTAGTGAATTTCAATTTCTTTAATACTAACCCAGTCTCTACTAACCTTACCATTTTTAATGTTTTATTCAATAATTTACATTGATTCGAACTTTATTTCTTTATTAACTCTTGTCTTGAATACTAAAATTCAATTTGCTTTGTTATTTTTTAATTTATTCACATATATATATGTTATAAGTTAAATAAAATAAAAAAAATTGTTCCTTTAAGTAATCTACCTTTGTACCAAAAAATTTTAAAAACTTGGCAAAAAATGGCATTGTATTTTGAAATACCTAGCACAATTTTATCGATCAATACCAACGACTGACGGACACTTCCCACGAAAATACTTCAAAATTCAATAAAATTTTAATGGACTGAATTGTATTTTTGTGGGAAATGACCGTGAACCGCACAAGCAAGTACAATCTATTCCTTCTATTCTTCTAAGGCGCTATCCTAAAAAAGCACTCTTACATATATTTTTATGAAAAGGCTATATTGAGTTTTGAGAAAATATGTAAAAAAATAATTCTTGGAACACTTTGTGCACCAGGGATGCGGGCAATAACCTTATATTTAATATATTTAAAAAAACAGTTTTCAGGCCCGTATATTTTTCAATTAAGACCTTGAGACTTGTGTAATAATTAAATACTCGTATTATTATTGACAATGTAAATGAAAATTACATCACAACAAGTCAATTTAAAAAGAACGTAATACAAACATTAGTTGTTTGATAAATATCATAAAAAGTAAACGTTTGTACTTGTGTTTTCATGGTTTATTCCGTTAATGTAGCGTTAAGGCAAAATAAATTTGCAACTATCAAAACTATATAAGATAATTTTGAGTTAAATTTGAATTTTAAATACCTCTAACTAGTGCATTTACTAAAAACGAAAAAAAGTTTGTAATCCCCATGTTTGACAAGGAAAAGCTTTTCAATACGAAGAGATGCTGGTTAGATTTAGTATTCAATTTTATTATATTATTTATTTTAGCAGGCAAGACTTTTTTTTAGCATTTTTAACCACCATTTAATTCCAAATAGAATGGTAATCCTAACAATTTTTAAAGCTTGGAAAATGTGAATACGTACAAGATTTTGACATTTGGATTGAAACGTCAATGTTAAACTACCCATCATACATGACTTAATTGATTGCTGTAAGCTTGATTAGAATTTATCAGAAATTAGAAGCTACAAAATTTTACAAGAGTTTTTTGAAAAGTGCATACTAATAATGTCCGAAATCAAAGGTATTTAACATACATTATTTTTTATCTATGAAAATATAAAATTATTTTTTTGTTTGGCGAAATTTATTTTCTCTTAATTTTATTGTAAAAACCTAAAAAGGTCTCTGTTTATTGCTATTTTTTATGAAAATTCAACCATTTACTGAAAAAATGACAAATTTGTTCTTTTTTTTTTTTTAAATTGTGCAAAAACCTAAAGATGCGCCTGCACCATCTTCAGTGTTAAGACCAAGCATGTTACGTCCGTCTAAGTTTGCATCAAATACAAGTGAAAGTGGTGAAGCAAGTTCTAATTCTGGAAAAGAAAAAACCGACCAAAAATCGAATCCATTTTTGAAAGAATATCAACTTGAGGACGAAAACGAGAATGATAATAATGCTACAACTTCTGATAGTAATAAAGACAACGTTGAGGTTTGCTATATTTTTAAGTTTTTCACATACCTACTATAATATTTACCAATAATATAGAAAACATCAGATCCTTTGAAATTACTTTCGAAGCCAAATTTTTCAAAAATGAAATTGTTTACAAATAATTCAATGCAAAATCAAGATGCTGGTTTTGTTTTTGGGCAAAATTTACATGAACGTGTTGTAGGGGTAAGAAAATGTGTATTTGTTAAAACTTATATTCATTATTATTCCTCTATACCTTTAGGATAATATAAAAACACAAAAAGAAGACAGTGTTGTTTCTGATCCAACTAACAGCAATGATTCATCCCTTTTGTTTACTAACGCAATCCAGAATGCGTCAAATAATGAAAACGGTAAAGAAAAGCCAATTGAAACAAAAAGTTTAACGGAAATTGCCAGAGAGTATGAAGAAAGTCGAGCTCAGAAAAGGAAATATGAAGAAGTGAAGACAATTACCGGTGAAGAAGATGAGGATAACGTATCTGAGGTTTGGAAAATTTTTTAGAGGAATAAAGAAATTTTGCAATATCACTTATTTCAGATTGATTGTAAATTGTTCGCATTTGAAAACGGAAATTATGAAGAACGAAGTCGTGGTATATTGCGTTTAAATGATTCTAGAGAAAAAGAAAACGTACATCGAGTAGTATTTCGTACTTTCGGTACTTTAAGGTTGCTTGTCAACACAAAGGTAGGATAAAATAACTAATTTTTTATATTTACTTTTATATTTCCTTTTTACTATTTGTATCTATTTTTATTTTTGTTTTATTAAATTACTTTACAGGTTTGGTCAGACATGATAGTAGAAAGTCCTAGTCCGAAATCTTTAAGATTCACAGCAATGGATAATAATGGTCAAATCAAGATATTTTTAGCAATGTCTCGCCCAGATTATATAACCACAATATTTAACGCCCTTAAAAGTAGAGTTTCAAAATTAAAAAGTATAAAACCTGAAGCAACTGATAGTGATAGTTCGATTGAAGTCAATAAAGAGGAATCTAAAATAAAAGCTGATAAAGCGGAATCTAAAGATAAAACAGAACCCAATGAACCCAACACAGAGTCTAATGGCGACAAAATGTTAGCAAAAACTGGTGTTAAAGATAAAGTTGAAGAATCAGAAAATGGTGATAATGATGATTGTGCTGAACCCCATAAAAAAAAATTAAATATTGAAGAAAGTAACAAATAAAATTAATTCAGAAATTTTGTTTTTTTGAATCTTCAATATCTTTGTCTTATTACAATTTATTACTTTTAATTAAAAAGAAGAAAAGTGAAGTACATATTATAATATTGAAAATTCATTAAACAGAGAACCAATGTATTTTTTTTTCAAGATAGGAAAGATAAGTACATACATATTTTATTTCTAAATTAAACTTCAAACATATTTTTAAACTACTTCCAAAATAAAATATTGGTTTATTTTTTCCATTAATAATTGAAAATTTTTTATATACTTTTGATATAAAGTTGAAACATTACGTGTCTTTTCATGACTTAAGACTAAAACTAAAGCTATTATTTGCATTGTAATTAAAACTATTGGATTAACGTTTCCTTCTAAATTTTAGTGTTTGGGGTCTTTGAGAATTTTTGTTTCTTTCTGTAGAAACGTATGTAATTTTTACGATAAGATTGTAATTTTTTCAATAATATCTATTTATTCTCAGTACATCATGTATGTACTATTGTAAAATATGTGCTAAACTTCTCAACTTCTTACAATATGAAGGTACCAAAAGTATCTGTCTAATTAGTATCGAATTTGTTTTTTGAAATAAAGAGAAAATTCATTTCGGTAGGAAATTTCAATGTGTTAATAAGTAGATACGTACTTACCGTGAAAGTGAGATCCAAAATAGAGCCGAATTAGATTCTCATTATGTTTTTTTTTTTCCAAAGTAAATTTCAGTGTTTTATTTAAATCTTAGCCAATAAACGCACAATATATTTCATTTTCATAATTACATATTTATATTTTTCTTTTTTAACTATAATTAAAATCAAATACATAATTTAAAACTATACACAGCTGAAATGGCTCAACTATAAATAAATACATAATATCAAAAGATATTAAGTCAAATTTAATTAGAACAAGCAAATTGCATTAAAACGAAGGAAAATTGCAATTTTTGTAAATATTTATTTTTTCAACTTTTAGATATTTCATACATAATAATATATTTAACTATGTATATAAGGAACTAAATAAACATTTTATTTATTTTCCTTCGTACTGGGTAAAATTTATCGATTAACATTATGCACTAATACAATATTTTTTAAATTTGGAAACAATAAAATTTCTAAAATATTTATTTAATTTATAACATTAAAAGGAAACAGTACAAGCTCTTTCTGTTTCAGTAAAGTTGAAACATTTATAAAGCATTATATAAAATAATATGAAAAATGAATATTAATTTCATTCAAGTGATGGAAATGAAAATAAAAAAAATTAACAATATATTTTAATAATTTAAATAACATTTTTTTTAATTAAAAATTTTTTCTTAACTAAGACTATTACTGGAGGAATTCTGAGTATTCGATAATAATGCAGATATCGCTGCTACTGAAGATCTAAAATTAAAATTACCAAAATTATTAAAATAATAAAATTCAAAATGCTTCTTTTACTACCTATTATGCCGCATGTGACTCTTAACTAAATCGCTATTTACTAAAGCTGCCATTAAACTTAATTCTCCTGCCATAACTGTTGCACATATAATTTGGGCTAATTTTTTTGCATTTTCGCCTGGACAATTTTGGTTAGCACCGCGTACTCCTAATAATTCTAAGCATGCACTTTGACCAGGAAGACCAGTGCCACCACCGACAGTTCCTACCTCAAGTGAGGGCATTGTACATGTCATATATAAATCTTCGTTATTTATTCCGCAGAATTCCATACCGGTTGAACAATTACTAGATGTAACGTTTTGTGCTGGATCTTGCCCGGTTGCAATGAAAACTGCTGTGACCATGTTAGCAGCATGTGCATTATTTCCTATATTTACATAAATAAATAACTTTTATTATATTTCTAAACCAATTTGTAAGTTAAGTATTAATTTTATAAAATACCTCCTATGCTTCCTGCTAAAGCACTTCCAGACATATTTTTTATTTTATTACATTCAACTAGAGTTTTAGCATCTGTTTTTAAAATTGCTTTTAATACAGCAGCAGGTATAACGCATTCAGTTACAACTCTTTTACCGCGACCCTTAATCCAATTGATTGCAGCTGGTTTTTTATCTGAACAGAAGTTACCACTTAGTGACACAATTTGCATGTCTGGAAACTCTCGTTTTATACATTTTAATGCCATTTCCGCACCTTTTGATACCATATTCATACCCATAGCATCACCAGTTAATGCAACAAATCGAATATATAAATTTGGACCATCCATGGCAATTAAAAGCTCTTTTAGGCGACCAAAACGACTCGTAGAATCAAATTCTTGCTTAATTTTCTTATAATTTTCTTCGCTATTTATCCATTGTTTGGCTTCAGCAGCTCTGGCAACACTTAAGAACCGCACACATGGTGCACGTGTCATACCAACATCTTCTACAACACTTGTAACGCCCTTTACAGATAAAGCTTTACAACCACGATTAGTACTCGCTACAAGGGCCCCCTCCGTTGTTGCCATTGGTACAAAATATCGTTTTCCATCAAGCAATAAAGGCCCCGCATATCCTATTGGAATGGGTACATATCCCAATACATTTTCACAACACGCATTCATTACTTTGGTATAATCAAAATTTTGATATGGTAAATTTGATAAAATATCTTCTGGTAAATTTGCTTGACTACTAACAATTTTCCTACGAATTTTAACGCCTCTTTCAGGATGATTAATTACAGATTCAATATTATATAGTGGACAATGTCCAGCACCAAATTTAACTATTTGTATAATTTCATCATCAGATAAATTAGAAGCACCTTCATCAGAATTTAAAATCTCTAAGCATTCATTAAGAGTTCTTGGTGGTAAATTACGTTTACTGTATAAAATTATGTTATCATTATTGTCATCTACCTTATCACAATCTATATTGTCATCGGTTTGAGTTGCCTCATTAATTAAAGTATCTTCCGTAATCTTAAAAAGTGGTTTCTTACGTATAATAGTTGGTACTACAATCGATTTACTTTCAAATGATTTGTTTGACTGTGATGATGATGTGATTGATGGTTGAAGTGTTTGGGGTTGTAATAGGTTATTCTGTGATATAACCACATTTTGTTGCATTTGATTTTGAAGTTTTAATTTCTGCTCCTGATGAAAATTATCAGCTACAAACATTAATTGGTCACGTATTTCATTCCGATTTTCGAAGAATATGAATTTTACAACTAAAGCAATTAATAAAATTAAAATAACTATTTGATCAGCGCTCATTGTCAACCACCTGTGTATAACGAATAGAAAATGTAAAATATTTGTTTATTAACAAGAATATTAAGAAAAATTTCATTATTTAAAAAGTCAATGTTCTGAATCGAATTCCATTATATTATGATTTTCAGTATCTTTAACAATACTAATTGGATATTTTCAAAAGAACATATAACACTTACTTAATTATCAAATCAGAAAATTCTTGAGATTCAGTTTTATTATTTGGCACATTTAATGTTTGTAATTTCGAATGCACACTATCAACTGGATTATATTCTTTTTCAGAAAATGCAACACGACTATAAACATGTACAATCATTAGACCTGTTGACATTATAACTTTTACTCTCTGGACAACTGGATTTGTTTTTTGTTCTTCTTCACTTAGAGTTTTCATTAAAAAAGAATCCTTTGCTTTTACTTTGACTAATGTCATATCGACACCATTTCTTGTTAAATCTAATATTAATGATAAACATGCTGGATAAAACGTCATAAATACTATGTAATTAACAATGACAGACATCACAGCAAATGTACATAAGATTTCTAATCTTTGAACACCAGATAATGTTCCTACACCTATTACTAAAGTTTCAACGATAGTATCTAAAGAAATAGCTGGACCTAAAATTTCCATTCCCTTAGCAATATTTCGTGTTACTTCAGCTTGATTTGTTCCATATAATGCTAATTGAGCTAACGTACCAGAATTTGATAAATCAATTAATAAAAGCAAAAAGAAAATTGCATCTCTGAAATTGAATTGAATAAAAAACAAAAAACAAAATTAATATATTATTAGAATTTAATATTATGAAATAAATATTATTAAAAATTGAAAATTAAAAAAAAAAAAACAAATTACTATTGCTTACTTCAAATCTGTTATATCGCTCCCCAAAAATTTGATAATACTAGTTGTAAAAATGAAACTAGAAAAAACAGTAAATAATCCAGCGATTCCTGAAATTAAATTATAAAAGTTTAATTTTATTTTTTTTTATATATGTACTGTATTAATTTTGAATTACCAAAAAAAACAGAAAGTTCAGAGGTATGGTAAATAAAAAAGAAAACAATGTTATAAATTGTGTGTACTCAAAATAAATAAATTTAAAAATAGAATTAAATATTAAAAGTTCGAGTCTGAACCCACAAAAAGAAGAGCTCTTAGATTTTTAGGTAAACTTGCAAATTTTAATTTTTATTAAAATAATTTTAATTCAGACTAATTAGCATAATATTCAGTTTTTTAGCAAAAAATATAGATAATTTTTAATCATTCAACATTGCCGAATTCATTTTAGTCCCATTTTGATTTCATAAATTTTTTGCGGATTATAGATTTATCACTGAACTGGAAGTCTAATATCTTTTATTTAACTATGAAATCTATTAAACAAATTGAAGCACACAGTGAAGAGCCAGACATCATACTTCTTACTTTACTCTTTACTTCCAATTATTATTTAGTATATTGTATAACAGAATAATAACAACGGATAATTAAACAATAATTAATTCATGTATGTGTAACATTTATGAGAAATGTATGTAAGCAAAAACGTTATGATGAGAGTATAAAAGGAAAGTTACATAATCAATATAAGTATAGTAAGATTAATAATATTGAGAATGCCCTTGACTTAGATTAAAGAAATAAAAAGTTGTTTTTTTTTTTTAAAATGCCTCAGAGAAAAAAAAAAGTGTAAAAATAACGAAATCAATAAAAAACGTTTTTTTTTTTTTTTTGACCACAATTAATTTTTTCTGGAGATGAAAACCATCTTTTATTTTCATCTTTATTTCGTGATTATTTTTTTATATACCAATATTTTATTTACATTTATTTTATATCTTTATAAAAAACACTTCTTGCTGATGGTGTTAATGGCCAATTCCTTTTTTATACACTTTTAATAATTTGACTGATGGCATTGCTATGTTAAAAAATATTTTATATGAATTAAACGAAAACCCCCAAACTATGTATAACACTAAACGAATTCAAAGAAATAAAAAAAAATAAACACAAAATTTAAAATTTTGTATTTTTTTTGTTTTCAGTTTCCAGTAGGGTATAACGATAACCTAGATTTATTTTCAAAGATGCTTGTAATTATTTGGTAAAAAAAAAATACGTGATGTTATAAACGTTTTCAATTTGAAATTAATTTAATAACAAAAACAAAAGTGGAAAATTAAATTCGATCATAAAATTATCTTTGAATATTTAAGTTAAATTTTAAATCATTAAGAAATCTGCCATCTGAAATGCAAAATAACTGTTGCAATATAACAAATTTATTCTTGTTTTTTTTTCTCAGTTAATGACAAAATAACAGATGCCATCTATTGCAAGGATAAGGAGGAAGACGTCTATCAAATTTGACTTGTCCAGCAATTTAAATTTTATTGAAGTTAGATATTTTGGTAAAAGTCTGGAGTGTTTTTGACAATGTTAATTGTTTTCACACTTATACAAGTTAGAAGTTATAGGACTTAAATATAAATTTGAAAACAAAAAAAAATATATGTACGGAATAAAGTCACACACATGATGCTATAACATAATTAAAAGTGCCCAATTATCTTTTTTTCTTAATAATTTCTGTTTATGCAATTTTTAAACTTAAAAAGCAATTCTTTATTTTCACACACATATACATACGAGTATTAAATACTTCTTTGACAGTTTTTGCAGTACGTATATGTATATGTACGTATGTACATACATATATACATAATATAATCAAATTTTTTCCTCTTGCTTCTTAATTTTATTAAAATATTAAAGTTTTTATTTAAAGCTGGTGTTAAGGGTCCCAGTTTAATAAAGCTTTTTATTAAATATATATCAAGCAATTTCGAAAACCTAAAATATTAATTTCTTGTTTAATTTATTGACATAAGTATATGTAAGTAATTAAAACGCCCACATTATTTCAATGATAAGTAAAAATTTTTAGCGACATACTTAGCTTAGTTTTGGAACGGCTCCTCGATTTACAATTCTATTTGTGTTATGTTTAATAATTTAAGAATCATATATGATTCTTAATAATATCCCTTTTCTCTCAATAACTCAATAGGTATATATTTGAAATAGCAAACTTTTTAAAATGTTAATTTATTCATTACAAATATTATTGATTCACTTACCATACCAGTTTGAATATTTATGTATATATAAATAATATACATGTATAACAAACATTTATTTAAATAATTACTTAAAATATATGTATGTACTCGTAAATTGTAATCTTTTCTTTTAATATGATGAGTAGTTTTACCTAAATATCGCGGTGTTTCTTAAAGTTTCGGCATTATTACTGGAAACAAAGACTATATGAAAAAAGCAAGTAAACAAAAGAACATGGAAAGTTTTAGTTACATTTACACTATATCTTTGTCTATATATAATATATGTATGTACATACGTAGGTACTTCAGTAAACTATACACGAATAAAATTTCAAAATAAAAATTTACAAACTCTTAAATACATGTACATTAGTATGTTCACATGTACATAATTAAAATGAATTTCACATAAGTATAACAATCATCTTTTCTTTTTTATAATAGTTAAAATTATACAATATAATTATTGTAAAAATTATAATAAATAATAGAATAACAACATTTTTAAAATACTGGTATTTTTCTTTAAGGTTTAAGATTTGCGATTTGAACGTTGCCAAAATCATTAAATTATAATGCTAGAGTACAAATTCTTTCAACAAACAAGAGTGGATCGAACTTATGATCGGATTTTTATCATTTCAGCTCATATTTTAGCTCAAAATATATACAAATTTTTTCTTTAATTTTCAATGAAATTATCTATGACAATTAGCTTAATCTAAAAATTAATTACTATTCTAGTTTTGCAATCCCTAATAATACCCAAGTATAGCTATTGTATTGTATTAGCAAATAACATAGCAAATTATTAAAAGCAAATAGATATTCGCAAAATTTCAACAGCATAAATTAAAAATTTTTTATTTTAATATTTAAAATAATCTTCACATTGATATAAAAACTTTATTTACAAGATTTGTTTGGCATTTTGTATGTAATTCTTTTTCGAATATTTGATTTTAAATCAGTATGGAAAGACTAAAACATACTAAAATAATAATTACATAAATACAAACATATACCAATACATATGTACATTATGAATTATTGTTATTCATATAGCGTAACCTTGTCTATTCTACTTGTTGATCGTCGCTAGTTACACAAATAAGAAAAAATAAATCAGAAATTTGCAATTCTTCTCTTATTATTTTAATGCTGATCTAAACTAAATTACGTGCAGATTTTTGTTTAAATTATGGCTAGTATAATATTATTTTATTAATTATCAGTCAAGATGGAAATTGCATAAAAAAAAACTTGAATAAATTACTCATTGCTTTTGACGAAATTCCACGAAAATTTAAAAGATCTCTAAAAAAAAAAATCTAAAAATTTTCTAAGAAATGAAAAGATTTCTTAGAGAAATTGTAAGTTAATTAGTTGAATATGATTAAGAACAATTGCTAATATAAACAACAAGCTCTCTAAAATAATGTCATATATATATATATATATATATATATATATATATATATATGTAATTATATTAACGAAAAATATTAGAATACTTAATACTGAATACTTGATTTACATCTATTGTGTTTAGTGTTTGGTTTTTTGTTAGAAGTAGATTTATTTACCGGCTCTAAGAGGGGAAGAATTTTTACAACACGACATCAATACCATAGTTTTATGTCAGATAAAATTTTTGAACAAAATTAATTTAATCACCTAAATTTCCCTTCAAAATATACCTATCTAAAAGTTTAGATATTCACTGTAACAACAAAGAATTTACATTATTTCGAAGAACTTCTTTAGACAGGACAAAATCTAATTAAATTTTCAATAAATTAATTAATTTCTTAAATTAAATTTTAATTTTTTTATTTAATTAAATTAAAAACATTTTATTAATTTAATTAATTAAATATATATGTGTACATATAAAGATTATAATTGATATAAAGTAAGAAAATTAATTTAATTTGCTTTCGCGTTAAACCGTCACATGTTATCAATTTGGCACAAGTGTGTTTATACGTACTTGAAAAACGAAGAAAGCAATTTTCAAATTTTGTAAAAGGCGTGAAATAAAATCAATGCCTTAATAATAACGTAAATATAATAGCAAAAACAAAAATTAAATTCTAATATTTAAAAAATAAATTATTTATTAATAGTCAAAATATTTCAATTTTGTTAAGTTGTATATATGATAAATTAAATGATATTGAAATATTATTAACACTTTTTCATAATGCTCACCTTAAAAATATTTTTTTATAAAAATTTAGTTTTCGTTAATTAACTTAATTTATTGATATGTAATATGTATGTTTCCGAAATATTATAAGCGATTTTAATGATAAAGTATGTTTATATTGCAAATATTTCGAAAATTTCATTGGTAACGTAATAAGTAAGTTATAACCCTGAGTATACTTTATTTCTAGAAGAAAAGAATGTTCAATTACTCGCATTTCTTCATTTATTTCAAACTATTCAATTAATATTCCATATATAATAAATATTATGAAATTTTTTGTACACCCTGTGTATGTTTATAGCAACATAATATGTATGTATTTTTACTCATCAATTTTAAGTATAGTGTAAGCATATTTGCCTATGCGTATTCAAACAATATACACGTTTCTTTCAAAAGAAACGAAATTGTTTCAAATGCTCAAAAAATTAATGAAATTTATTGTCATAATAGTAAAACAAACAATATCTGATTGATATTTTGTCATTATAATTTGTATAATAGTATGTGTGTTTTAAATAGACAAATATATTAATATGTTTATTAACAGAAAAAAAAAAACCACAAAAATAATTTTATTTTTATTACATTTATGGTAAAA